TGAGGGAACACTGCAGGTAATAATGTCCTGAGAGAGACGCTGTAGCTGCACTCATGCAGTGACGTGTAGGAGGAGATGTATGAAGGCAGCAGACCAAGAAGTGATTTAAAGATGAAAATGTACCAGTGAGAGAGTCTGCATGAAGTTAATGATGTCCAGTTAACCAGTGAATACAGTGTGCAGTGATAAGTACGATAGTTGCAGCCAGTTATGAATCTTAATGCACCATGATAGACAGCATCCAACATCTGCAGGGTGCTTGTAGGAGTGTTCATGTAAATAATGTCACTGTAATCAGTGGAGGGAAGGAAAGTTGCAGTTACAAGGCGTTTCCTAGTATTCAGACTTAGACTGGATCTATTTCTGAAAAAGAAACCCAGTTTAACTTTCAGTTTCTTTACGAAGTTTTCCACGTGTAGCTTAAAAGAGAGCTGGGAATCAACCAAGATACCCAAATATTTATAGGAATCAACAAACTCAATAGGAGCACCATTCAAGGTTAAGATCGAAGGAAGAACTGCTGGGACCAACTTCCTGTTTGAAAAAAGCATCCCTTTGGTTTTGTCGGTGTTTAGTACAAGTTTGAGACTAAACAAATCAGCCTGGAAGATGTCAAAAGCAGATTGCAAAAGCTGAAAAATCACAGCAACTGTTTTAGCTCGACAATAAACAACTGTTTCATCAGCATAGAAATGTAAGAATGCATTAAAGATGGTCTGACCTACATTACTGATGTAGATTGTGAAGAGGGTGGGGCCTAAGACTGAGCCTTGAGGTACACCATTGTTTACCGTTAAATAACTGGAACAAGTATCATTATGTCTCCGATCTGAGAGATAGTTAGTGAAGCAACCAATGGTGTGATCTGAGAAACCAATTTCTGATAACTTATGACATAAGGGTGTCTTAACTTGTCCCACTGATCACAGACTCATAATATTGTGCAATTTAGAAATAAAATCTATATAATGAATTTTCACAAAACTGTCCTTCTATAGGACAGACGCTTTTGAGTTTCTGTTGATAAATTAGAGATTATCCAGCAGTCATAATACTTCTCTTTAGATTGAAGATTTTTTCTTGGATTATCTGATTTATTATATATCTTATTTATTATTTATATTATAAAGCAATGGCGGCCTTGAACGACTTTATTTGATCACTTCTTTTAAATCCTCTCACAAATGTAGGGCGAAGACTGCTAACTTGTTCTGCATTCTGCGACACAGGAGGCAGAGGATGATGAGGTTTAGTACTTTAATCTGAAAAAATAAAAATAAAAAACATCACTATCAACATGGTTAATGCAAGAGCAAACCGTCTGCTCTTTGCTGGACTGTGTTTTTCATGTGGAGTGTGTGTTTCTTGTGTAAAAACCAGTGATGCAGGAAGTTTTTATATGCAAAATATCTCATGCAAAACTTAAAGTACAAATGCAACCCAAATTATAAATGTTATTATATATACTGTATATGTATATATTTTCTTCCTCTTCTTTCAACTGCTCCCTTCTACAGGGGTCACCAGAGCAAACTGACTTGCACAAAGACTTGGCAGTTGTTTTTACGCTGGATGCCCTTCTCCACCTTCTCTAGCCCCTGCACCCCCCCCCCCCCCCCCCCCCCCCCACCCACATTTTTGTGTGCGGGTATACTAAAATATTCTTATTATATTATTTTTCTTAC